AGGACGTCCCCATGGCGGTATCCTTGGTGCAGGTCCCTCTTCGTCTGATCGTCCACCACTTCGCTGTCAGATTTGTCGTCGTAATGGTCACTCTGCCATTGACTGTTACAACCGTATGAATACTTCTTATGAAGGTCGTGTTCCAAGTGCTCGTCTCACAGCTCTTGCTGCACAGTCAACCCGTGTACCCCAGTCTGCATCTCATGCTCTCACAACATGGCTTCTGGACTCTGGAGCGAACACACATATTACTAATGATCCTGGACAACTTACAAATGCACAGGAGTACACAGGCATAGATCAAGTCGGTGGTGTTAATGGTGCTCAAGGTTTGCACATTTCCCACATAGGCACCTCTTTTATTTACTCTCCTACTAGCTCCTATACTCTTAAAAATACTTTATATTGCCCTGATGCCTCTCAAAATATATTATCTATCAATCAATTCTCTTCTGACAATGACTGTTTCTTTGTCCTTCATCCTAATTTCTTCCGTGTTCAGGATATCCGCTCGGGGAGGATCCTTTTATCAGGCCGGAGTAACACTGGTGTTTATCCTTATTCAAGTTTTAATTCCATTAAAAGACATGGACTGTTTTCGTGCATGGGAGTCAAGGTTGATGATCGTATTTGGCACTCTAGACTCGGTCATCCTTCGTTATTTATTTTAAAGCATTTAGCTTCCTCTAGCAAAGTGCCTCTTACTAGGCACCATTTTAATTCTGTCTGTCATTCATGCCCTCTGGGCAAAAGCAAGAAATTGCCATTTTCCCCATCAAATTCTATTTCTCATTTTCCTTTACAACTTATTCATTCTGATGTATGGATGTCCCCTACTTTGTCAATTTCTGGTTTTCGCTATTATGTGATTTTCATTGATGATTATTCACGATATACATGGCTTTATCCATTAAAACTAAAATCTGATGTGTTCTCAACATTTATTAAATTTCAAACTGAAATGGAGAATAAATTTCAAACAAAAATCCAAACTTTTCAAACGGATGGTGGAGGAGAATATATTAACAAAACTTTCAAATCTTATTTGGAAAAACATGGCATTCATCATCAATATACATGCCCTCACCATCCTGAACAAAACGGTATGGCAGAACGAAAACATCGTCATTTGGTTGAAACTGGTCTCACTCTTCTTGCTCATGCATCCATGCCACAAACCTATTGGGCTGAATGACTCTGCAATACACTCAACGCATGCATTAAACAAATGCTGCCCATGTGAATGACTCTGCAATACACTCAACGCATGCATTAAACAAATGCTGCCCACGCATGCATTAAACAAATGCTGCCCATACTCAGATGCAGATGCATTAAACAAATGCTGCCCACGCATGCATTAAACAAATGCTGCCCATACTCAGATGCAGAAACATTGATGCAGTGTATCCATGTGAAATATTCACTATACCTGTAAAGTTCTAATTAACTATACTTGTAAAGTTCTATATAAACAGAAAATGAAAAGAAGCTCAACAATTGAGCACAATTCTTTTAGTAGGGACGACCTTCATATCTTGAGTTTTCAAGACCTCGGCTACCTGTTTGCATTTGCCATACCTCATCAGTCTGTACGCGTAACTAAATAGTGTGGTCACTTATCCTATTTCAACATTTTTCTTTGAGATAAAAATATTTTCTTTTCGGACTTTTTATATTGTTCTAATAGTGGGGTTAGAAATTTTTTACTGGGTGGGCTAGCTTAAAATTTTTAATTTTTATAAATAAAGAAACTTGATATCGTATTTTTCATAGTATCAACTAGCTTAAAAAAATTCACAAGGTGAGTCAAAAAATTTTGTAATTAAACAAATACGTGTTAAATTAAACAAATCCAGACTTGTACATTTACAAGAAACGATGAGAAAAATAATGTAAGAAAAAGAGATTATTTCAAACTGTATTATATAATTTTATATAGTTAAACCTAGAAAATTTGAAGTAGTAACTAAATATTTGTTAGGTTACATTCGAAAATCAATCAAAATTACATGTAAAATTTTATTTTTCACTGCAAACTACCTGGGCTACAGTTGAGGGCAGCCCTTAACTTGCTCTGCCAGTGTGTTCCATGATGGTGACACATACAAACAACAAGTCAAAAAGTCAGTACCCACAAGTAGGAAAATTCTCCACAGTGATGACATACTGATATTTTATCTATACTAAAACTCGGTTTCCCCGGTACTGTTTTTCACTGTTCGTGAACAGTGTTTGGTTGGAAATGCCCTCTGTTTTTTCATGGCTCAAAGCATTGATTCCTTTTTTGTGCAGTGGAAAGTCTCTTTTACCCATGTTGGCCACGCGTCTTTCATCGTTGATCTATTCGCTTCGAGAGTATTCTACTCAGCTTCCGCCTTTTTTTTCTTTGTGGTAGTTTTCTGATCTGGGCATTTCCCTTTCCTCTTCTTTTCTCCTCTCTCTCCGTCTGTGTTTCCCTTTGTTTAGATCTCTCTATCTCTTTCTTTCGATTCCGATCCGATCGTGTGCAGATGGGTTTTGTGTTTATGTTTGTTTTTTGTGATTCTGTTTGTAGGCTTGGATCCTCCTCTTCTTCTTCACCCAAACCAGCTGCCCCACCTTCGATTGTTATCGACGGAAACACCACGAATTGAGGCGCCACACCAATACTATAATATTTATAAGAAAAGAGCTCCAAACCCGCAAAGGTACTGTTTTTTTTTTGTTCTCGGCTTTTAGCTATTTGGGTACTGAAAGCTTTTCATTTTTTTAAGTGAATGTCCCGCGCATGCTTTTGCTTCAAGGAATACTTTGTAAACATTCTGATTTTTTGGTTTCATGATTTCGGCTGACTCTTTTTTTCAGGATTCGTCAGATATCAAATGGTTCGAGACGCATATGATTGTAAGATTTGCCACAAATAACTTTATGTTGTTGTGCCATTAGATACAGTTTTCATTCCCCCCCTGCAACTGTTGGATGACTTCATATGTTATATGGGTTAAGTTGGTTGGAGTATAAAGTGTTTTCATTCCGTGGTATACATGCAGAGTTTTTGGAAGGTGATGTGTTAAAGTGTTGCTGATTGGGATAAACTCAGTAAAGAGTTGACAACTAGGCAGTGATTTCAATTGAGCATCACTTATTTGCACCCCCTTTCCCTTCTTACATAATTGAAGTGCTATTGACTCTCTGTGGTTACGAGTTACAAGTTCAAATTGTGGAATTTTTTCTTCCATTTGTGTTTTCTTTTTCAAAAATAAAGATAGAAAGGGAATGCTATGATAATTGGAGGTTTTTGTTTTGATATTCATATGTGTACTTTAGTAGGCACATAAAAATACTGAAATTATTCAACTATTTTATTTGTTGTAGGCGTGTGAAATTAACTAGACAAAGAATGGGAAACTTACTACTCGAGAAACCAAGTGTTAAATAGACTATGAAGTCCTAATAAAAATATAGCATTTGAACATTTTGACTCTTTGAATCCCACTTTTGAGCTTTTGGTACATAGTTTTGGAAATTTTTATTTAGCTAGAGAAAGGGGAAGAATATAGGAAGAGGAGAATTACATGCTTTAATAGAAATGTTGCATTCTTATTTGTGTAACTGGTTACAAGGTTGCAAAAACAGTTGAGTGCTGTTGTTTGTCTCTTCATGGTTTCGTCAAGCTCTAAAAAACACTGAAAAGAAATCAAACTTATGGAGGTAAAGCAAATACAATTTTGACAAAAAATGCGACTGTTTATAAACGTTGGGTTTTAGACGATATATGCTTTGAAAAAAAAAGTTTAATCTTTTTTACAATTATGCTTTTTTCAGTTATGCATTGCTTTGAATGGAAAGAAAAATACTTTACTTTTACTGTTTTGTGTGTGTTTAATTTGTAATTTCACTTTTTGCTGCAGATTGGTATGGAAGCACTGTATATGAGCTGCAAAGTGCTCTTGGTCAAATTGAGAAAAAAAAGGGGAAAGGTGAGTCGGGCTGTTAAATAGTGCAAAATTTTTAATTTACAAATGTTTGTTAGTTGTGTTAATAATTGCTTTTACATGTGTATGCTGGTATTTGTATCATTCTTTTTCCATATATATGTTGGGATGCTTCATGAGTTGATATGCTTAAAAGTTAAAACTTAATGTTCTTTGCTATACATGTGTCAATTTCAATCCGAAAAATTTGTTCCTACCCTTTTTCAATTCTATTTGAATCCATTTTTATCCACGTAACCTAATGTCTTCTGGTTAGCATTCCAGCTATGTCAATATACTTGGCTTTTTTTAGTGGTTTATGCATGGCTACAATTGGAAAACTTTTGTTATATTTCTCTGCTTCAAAGATTTCTCTGACTTATCTTTGAAATTTTATTTTTTTTTGCAATTAATTGTTTTAAATATTCTTACTTTATATGAAAATATTTACATAATACACTCTATATATACTTTTTCTGGCCTAGATTAACATTTTTACTGTGTTTTTTTAGCTTTGTACACAATGAACAACATGCCATTTACAAAGGCCAAAAGGAGATCCAGTATCTTCCATATACCAAACACAGGTTAGCTTGATTTCTATTACTTTTTTTAGTTTATTTCAATAAAAATTTTATAAACTTGAATCCACTTTGATAATTTCTTGGAGATTCTTCAATGACTAATTTTCTTAATCCAGATGATACCTATCACTGCTATTTAATTGTCAAATAACATAACTATTTTAACTATAGTGAGGACTAAAACCTGTTTGTTTTGTCCCTCCACTTTTTTAATGTTTGGTTGAGAGTGTGATATTGACCTTTGTCAATTTTTTTGGTAAAAAATTACAATTCATGGAATTTCAGAAAGATCAGACATATTCTAATGAATGAAGTTTACATGATTGGTGTCTAGGTATGAAATAAGATGTTACAAGCTTTGTCTAACAATTACACACTAAAAAAAGAGAGAAGAAATCACAAAGTCAACAACCAAGTTGTAGCTTCAACAAATAGGTTTCGCAAGGATCCAATGGTATGTGAAATTATTTAGATTTTCTTGGTTTTCTTTCGTTGGCATTTTGCATTTAAATTCAATCTTTGCTATTGTTTCTCTTTGGGGGAGTTAACTACTACCAATATATGTACACACACACACACATACATACTATCCTATTTTCACCTGGTCTCAATACATGGCTAATTGCTTGCCTGCACACTAAGGGGTTAAGTTGGACATCCAAAAGTATGACTATAGATGTCCCCACCAGAGATATACCCTCTCCACAAGCTTTAATTAAGCCAAAGAACACCTTAGTAATGGTGGAATTGTTAAATCTATTCATAAACCATTCCCATCACTCATTAATTAGATTTAATGGTACCCCCACTCCTAACGTGTTATTTGGCTAAAGCATGTGGAGAGGGTGCATCTTTGGTGGTAGCATCTCTGTTTATACTTTTGGATGTCCATCTTAAACCACTCAGTGTATAGTCAAGTGATTAATCATGCATTTAGAATAGGTCAAAAGAATAAAGTCTGTGTATAAATTAGTAACAGTTGAAAGATGGAAGTGATGTTATTCCTCCAAATGATGAAGACTGAAATAACTTGGAAAATTACCAAACCAACTAAATCTGATCCATCTTTTTACACCCTTATATTTAATTTTTACAATGAAAATGCTAAGAAGTTAACTACTAATCAGTAATGTTAATTGTTTAGATTACTTTTCCATGCTCCTTACAATCTCACGGTAATTTTCCTTGCATGATCATTCAGTTATAAGATAGTATATTCAATTTCTAATCCCACACAATTGTACTACACATAAATACAGACTTAATACTTATTTAAAGCATATTCTCATCTTTTTAATCCACTTTGAATGTTAGTATTCAATTTTCTCCAGTTGGGCTCATCAAATTTGATTATAATGTTAACTCTCTATCATACTTATTTAAAATGAGCGTACAATTTAGGTTGCTGATAGGTTTCCTCATTTCTTCATTGGTAATCTGTATTTTTGCTTATTTTTCATTCTTGGGAGTTTTGTGAAGACTTAATGTGTTCAACTTCTTTTTTTTTTTCAATTTCTATCAACTTCTTTTTTTTCAATTTCTATTCTCTGTGGTTTTCTATCATGTGATTCGAGTGTCATGTAATTACAGGTTCTAATATAATTTTTCCAGTGCCTTAACAACAAATTATGTCACTGTTGATATTGCAGATGATCAACTTGCACAAATTACAAGGTTTGCCACCACTTCCCTTAATCTGCATATGTAAAATGTAGGTAATTTTAACCCATGTTGTGCTAAAAAATTAACCTGTTTTGTTTCATCATTCTGTTATAGTATTATATGTCATCGCACATTTTAAAAAAACAAAATATGTCTATTGTCTGCTAAAAAAAAGGAAAATGTGGGCAGACAGATCACTTACATAAACAAATTAGCATAGTTAATCCTAAAGCTATATAAGTGAGGTTATTGATTTGTTACCACATTTCATCGTTGGTGATTTTCCATTCTTGGCTAATACATGTTTGTGAACAGTAGTTGTGTTTTGTGTCATGTGATTGAAGAGTCGTGTGATTACAAGTTTTAACTTAGTTTTTCCAATGTCTTAAGAAAAAATTATGTCACTATTGATATTCCATGTGTCCAGCTTGCACAAATTCTTTGTACATCTCATTCAAATTGGTAACAGTTGTAAATAGATTTGAACATCTACAATTTTAAACCCGCAGCATCGCACGGGCACCGTTGCTAGTCCATGACTATAGGTCAAGATTAGAGTTGGGAATAATCACATCTTTTCAAAGAAATTAGGTGAGTTTGAAACGGCAGCCCTTTTGTATTTTTGGGTAAACAAGCCCATTGTTTTCTCACGCCAAGAACTAGAAAACAAATCATGCACCTTCTCCTCTGTCATTTGAGAAAATACAAGTGATTTTCTCATATTTTCACTCTTCTTGTACACCCTATTCGTTTTCGACCTTTTCTTGCATATATAAACAAAATGTTCAAACAATCTAAACAAATATGAGTGTACAAAATAGTAGAACAGAGTGCAAAAATTGCTTCTCCTAGTAAAATTTTAGAATGAGTAATTAATCACTTTATTAGACGCGAAAGAACAGTGATATTATCTGCAAACCACAGATACTGGGCAAATTTTTATAATTTTGCTACCCTAAAACAAGAAAGACCGGCTCTTCAAAAAAACAAAAAAAACAAAATATATATATATATATAAATAAATAAAATTTAATAAAAAAAAACGACTCTGCAAATAGGGTGACTCTGCAATTTCATTTTCTTACAATTTATTTAGAGACCCAGTCAAATTTAAATTAGTATATATGTATGATTAGGCCTGCCTCGATCACCTGATCACACGAATAATGGAAGAAGTGAAGCTACTAGGGTCTTGGCCAAGTCCGTTTGTTTACAGAGTGATATTATACATATACTAAAACCCAACACAAAAAACACTGTTCATTAACAGTGTTCTTCCATTTTCATCCCTGCTTCTTTTTTGTTATTTCAATTTTGCCCCTATTGCTTTGCTGTCAAATGAGTAACAGTTTTGTGACGCGTGGGATCCTCGACCGCTTTCTTCATTCTTCGCCCCTCCATCCTCACCCCATATGGCAAACTTTCATCCCTCTTCGGGGTGGTTTGGGAGTGAGGTGCTTAAAAAAAATAGCACCCATGAAAAAAAACTGTGAGGGTTTTAGGTGTTTGGTAAACTGAAAAAAAATAACTTATTTTGGAAGCTGCTATGAGAATAAGTTGAAATCAAAGGAAAAAGCTGAAGCTGCTATTTGCAGCTTTGGAAAACTGGCTTTTTTTTCAAAGCACACGGAGCTACAGTGCTTCTTTAATGAAAAGATCCACTATCAGACTGCTTTTTTTTTCCAAAATCACTTTTACAAAAAAGTTTACCAAACACTCCGCTGATTTATTTCACAGTCGCTTATTCTCACAGCATAGCCGCTTATTCTCACAACAGTTTTTTTTCAAAGCACAGCAATACCAAACCAGCCCTTCATCTCTTCTATCGTTCACCGCTTCACCGCAGAAAAACTTAAACCACATCCCTGTCAAGTTTCAATCACCATCTCTCAGCTTTGTGATCTGTAGACTGCTACAGAAGCTTGATTTGTTCAAGTCGGCAATAACTGTAGAGGTAAGCTCTCTGATAAATCTTCTAATTCACTCTTTATTTCCACTGCTGACGATGCCGATCGAATTCAATTACAGAGCCTGCACCATCCCCTACATATTCCCTTCCAACAATCCCCGCAAGCCCACTCCCACTGAGCTCTCCTGGATCGACCTCTTCTACAATTCCACCCCCTCCTTCAAGTGATAATCCTCATCCTTTCCCCAACCTCCATCATAAATCTTAATTTCTTGGGTTTTTCGTTAATGGGTTTGATTGGTTTCGGCAGGAAACGAGCTGAGTCTGACGCTTCGGTTCCCGACGCTCCGGCAAGAGCTAAGAAATTTGCTCAAAGATACACACTTTACTGATTGTTTTGCGATGAGTGAATTGGGTTTTCGGAAATGCCTGCAATTTTTTGTATTTTTGCCTGAAGGGTACACTGAGATACTGGAGGACTTGAAAAAGGATCCTGAGAGTCACGGCGGCCCGCCGGATTGCATTGTAAGCTCGAAATTTTGATTTGAGTTGATTTCTCACTTTCTATTATGTTGTAGTCATGATTTATTGCGGCATCGTTTTCCTAGCATTCACATTTCTTTTTTTTTCCTGCTTTGTTGGGGAAATCCAGCTTCTTTGCAGACTTCGGGAGCAAGTTCTTAGGGAGTTGGGATTCCAAGATATATTCAAGAAAGTTGAGGTGGGTACTTTTTATTGTTATTGGATGCTTTATTAGTCCATTGATGTAGATAATTGATTGACTTGGAGTTCGGAATTGTGATCATGATTAAACTCTTCAGGATGAAGAGAATGCCAAGGCAATATCCCTGTTTGAGAATGTATTGGATCTTAATGATGCTATTGAAGATGAAGTCAAGTGGGTAGAGCATCTGATTAGAGGAATATTTGCCAGAAATATAATTTGTATCAAACTCGCCATTTCATAAGACTCAACCTCAGAGCTCTATGAAAAAGAACAAAATTGACGATACCATTTTATTTATGTTTGATTACATTGGTTACTATTACTAATAGTTACATTTTGTGCATATTGTAGCATTCATTTTAGGGAACTTATGGGATCTGTTCTATTGTTTGTTTATATCATTAAACTTTCCTTTACTCTCCCTTTCTTACAGGGTTCTAAAATCCTACGTTCCTTATTTTTGGTTTTTGGGATGGTTGTGCTTTTGTGTAAAGCTGGATCTGCAGGTAAGAGTTCTACTCTGTACAATAGTTATGAACTACAGTTTGTGTTTGGATGGCTGTGATTCATGTTACACGATCTTGGTTTATATGTTTAGTCTAACAAGAAAAGACATCCCCAAATCAAACTCTATGGTACTGACATTAGTTTCTTTTCTATGATGTTTAAACTTGGGTTGTGTCTTCTTCCTCCTATTCCTTCTCATTGAATCCGGTTCTTTAGGGTGTTGGTCTCTGTTATCATCGGCGATCCCACAGTTGGGACTGTTGTCATACAAGTTGAATTGAACTCAGGTATGTTCTAAGATTTATCCAGATCCTATTTGATCAGGTTTGTTAATTTTTCCTCTATTTTTCTGAAATTGATTGATTAATTTTCGTCTGTTCTCACAACTCTGCTTCGGTTTATGGCGAATTTGTGGTTTGTCGTTCTCAACTGTTGTCTTCTGCAGTTCGCAACTCTTTCCTTCCTCAGAGAATACCTTGCATTTTGTGTTTTTTTTCAGATTTTTATCTTGGTTTTGAAAAAAAATAAATTCTTCTGTTGTATTTAAAAATATTTAAGCTTGGTTTGATTATGTTATGTGCCTTAACAAACCTTCAGTTGCTTAACTTAGGACAGAATAATGTGTCGATTAACAACTTACGCTTTGCAAGCCAGTACTCTCTCTTGCTTGCTTAATCTTACAAATTTGACAATATTATCTTTGAGAGAATCCAGTAGTTGCTCTGCTGCTGCTTTCCTATATGAATCTGTCCATTTTCTATTTTTGTGGTTAAATTTTTGTATAATATAGTGTGAGATTATTGTTATCTATCATTTTAGAACTGTTAATTCTATGCAAATTTCATTTTTCTAATTTTGTGGATTTTATTTCCAGGCTAAAATGTTGTTGTTTTCTGAAGCCCTCTGTACTCAAGGTAAGAAATTTAAACTTTTGGTGGATTTGGAGTTTTGTTTAAGTTTGATCACATTGTTTCAATATAATAATTTACATTGATTATATTGGAGTTGTAGCTAAGTTCCATTGCGTACTCGGATGAGTTGGTTTGTTCTAAGTTTCGGATAAAGAATTATTCCCATCTGGGTATATATACATTCAACTCCAAACATTATATAACCGAAGGTATGCAAGAATCAATGTTGATTTAAATAGAGAGTATTCTGTATGTATTAAAAAACATTTGACACCAGAGTAAACCTATTTAACTATTGACTTATCAGTTCTGATCATTTTTCTCCCCTCAAACAAAATGCAATTTTAACCGTGCAAGGTTAGGAATATGCACCTCTCTCCTTGGGGTTTTCAGTGATGTGTTTTAATAGAATTATAGATTTGAGTAATTAGATATTTCAGTGCTGTTATTTTTTTTTAACAATTTATGATGCTATGTGTAAAAATTGGTTAGGTATTTTTTTAACAACTATAATATCATTTAATTCCAATTCATAATTACTTCTTTTGTTAATCTGATAGTAAATTTTTATACTTTATGTCCAAATACATATATAGTAATGTATACATATAACTTATTAAGTTTTTTAATGTTGCTGAGCATTTTGAGTGTTCATTTTGTGTGTAGAGAGTGAAAAGTGCACTGCTCACAAAGGCAAACAAAGAATAGCTTCTACATATGGGAAGAAGAGTGGTTGGTTGATCGTGGTTGCTTTTTTGATTCGGTTAAATTGAAGTTGGCTTGCGTCTAATTTAGTTGTTTGCTTGCACAGGTTGAAGTCACTAGCTTTATTAATGCTGGTGACCGAGATAAAACCCGAGTTCATGTTAAAATGATATCATAATTTTCGTTATATTGAGAACTGAGAATTTAGACCCTTTTTTTATCTTTCCCATTTTTGAAATTTAAAAATTGAATTACTTTTCTATACCTTTTTGTGATCATACACTGAGAATTTGTTAATTGTATAAAATGAGAATTGTTATTAGCATTCCAAAACTCTCATTCTACACTCCAAACTTTCTATATTAGAAAAGAAAAATACACTTGTGAGGAGTGTAGAATGAGATTTTTGGAGTGCCAATAACACTTCCCTTAATATTATGAGGTAGGATTTATACTTTCTAAGATCCATTTCTCATGTTTAGAGATTGCTTGATTTAATTACATGTGATATAAGTTGATGTGTTTATACCTGTACAACATAATTTTTCACATAATTTCTAATCCTGCAGCAACGCGCGGGCAAAACTTTCTAGTGGGCTCTAAAGCTCAAGCGTGTGAAATATGAGTACATAGAACAGGACATTTTTAACAAGAGTGAACTTCTGTTGCAGTGCAATCCAGTTTACAAGAAGGTTCCGGTGCTTTTTCACCGGGGAAAACCGATTTCCGAGTTGATTGCCATCCTTGAATGCATAGAAGAAACTTGGCCAGAGAATCATCTGCTGCCTGAAGATGCTTATGAAAGAGCCTTGGCTCGGTTTTGGATACAATTCCATGTATGTCAGGTGACTAATTTCAAGTTTCAATTATTTCTCATCTGCTTTTCTCTTAATTATCTAGTTCAACTATATATTGAGAGACTCCCAATAATTTACAGAAAAATGCTGCTCATATGGGTTCAATTTTTCTCACTAGTTTAATTTTGTAGTTTGTTAAGAACAAGACAAATCATTGTGATGATCAAATTGGGGATTTTTCCTACCTAAGTAGCTTGTCATCATGCCCTCTAGGAGTTCAGATTGAAACCAAATAGCTATGATTAGCATGCGCACGAATTTATGTTTCCCTATAAAAGATCAAAATAAGTGCTTAGCCATATCTTTTTATACATCATCAGATTCCCAGTTTTAATGCATTTTTCGGATTAACTGCCGGAGAAGATCGACAAAAGACAATCGAATCAGTGTTGGAAACGCTGAAAATATTGGAAGAGCAAGGGCTTGGTGACAAGAAGTTTTGGGGGTGATAGTATAAACTTGGTAGACATAACGCATGGATGGCTGGCTCTTTATTTCGAAGCCGTTGAAGAAATGGTGGGTGTCAAATTGCTCGAGCCAAGCACCTTGCCTCGATTGCATGCATGGGTTCAGAATTTCAAGCAAGTTCCTGTCATCAGAGACAACCTTCCTAACTACCAAATATTGGTTGCTCATATGAAACGCGCAAGGGAAATGCTTGTCCCTCAGATCTGAGATATTCTGTGGATTCAGTTTGTGTATCAGCAGCCTCATGACTAGAATAATAATAATGAGAAACTATCACGTAGATACACTCTCTCTCCTTACCTCTCTCTTTTAGGTGATCTTATTTCAGTTTATATTCTCCAACTGCGATTGCCGCCACGGCCCCCGCGGTCACCACCACTGCCGTGTTAAACGTAATGCACTTTCTCCCTGTTACAAAGCATACTATCAAGGCTATTTGTTTGTATAACCTTTATTGAATATCAAGAGACATCTTCTTCTTTTTTTTTTTTTTGGAAACAAGACATCTTCTTCTTTTCTCCTTTACTACATGATAAGGAAAATCCCTTTTCATCACAATCAACTTACTTTACTTTACACTCATACTATTCTAGATAAAATTTCTTACTTTATATCATACTAAATATTATTTTATGATTTTCATTGTCTACTTGTCACTTCATGCATTATTGATAGTCTATTGTGAAGTTAAGCTCACATTTTTTCCTTAGTGTAGGTATCGTTTGTTAAAAAAAAAAAATATTAATTTTTTTTATAAAAAAAAGGGAAGAAAGGCCTGTCACTTCCAAAGAGGACCTTTTTTAGAGACCCATTCAAATTTAAATTAGTATACATGTATGATCAGGCTCCTGCCTCGTTCACCTAATCACACGAATAATGGAAGTGAAGCTACTAGGGTTTTGGCCAAGTCCGTATGTTTACAGAGTGATAAGGGCTCTAAACCTCAAGGGTGTGAAATATGATTACATAGAACAAGACCTTTCCAACAAGAGTGAACTTCTGTTGTTGCAGTGCAATCCAGTTTACAAGAAGGTTTCGGTGCTTCTTGACCTGGGAAAATCGATTTCCGAGTCGGATGTCATCCTTGAATACATTGAAGAAACTTGGTCAGAGAATAATCTGCTACCTGAAGATGCTTATGAAAGAGACTTGGCTCGATTTTGGATACAGTTCAATGTATCTCAGGTAAAGAATTTCAAGTTTCAATTATGTTATCTGCTTTTCTCTTAATTATCTAGTTCAACTATGTGGAGCAAAAAATAATCAAGAAAATTATGGAGGCGACACGTGAATTTTTGGGTGAAAATGACAAAATTACCTTTAAAGCAGACTGGGATTTCGCGCATGCAACGGACAATAATGGCTCAATCAAGGTCAAAAGTGATCAAAATGGTATTCTTTTAAACTCTCTCATCACCCCTCATCAAATCTTCCCCCACAAGGTAACTCCCAATTATTCTTTTCGAACTAGGATTAATTGTCAAAATTAATTGATTAATTACCTCATTTATTTATTAATTATCTAGTTGATTGCAAGATATTATGCTACATAATATTTTGCAATTAGAGCCAAATTACCACCATAAGTGGCCTGTCCCTATTTTCCCAAACAGGGCTGACCACACCCCTATATATAGCCCATCATTTCCCAAAAAACCTAAGTTCATTCTTCTTCTAAAATTCTCTAAACACTTTATCTCTCAATTTCTAACTTTGGCATCGGAGACTTTTCGGCCAAAGCCCCCCCCAAAACAAAATCGTGGGCACGTGAGGCTCTTGGCCTTGATCTTAGGTGTTAATTGTTTTGTAATTGCATTTTCATCCAATAAGAAGAAGGCAGAAATTTGCATCCACAAATTGGAGCTTTCATTAAGAGTCTTGATTCACATGCTCAAAGAAGACTCTGATAGGAGCATATTTATGCGACTTAGTTAGCTTGTTTTCTTGCACTTTCATAGTTAGTTTCTGTTTATAGGCCCAAATGACAAAGTTGGCAAGAAAGTGCAATTTGGAGCAGTTTTGGGCCAATAATCGATAGCACATGCATTGCAAAGTGGATGGACGTTTTTGAAGTTCAAGAGGCTAGGAATGTGCTAAAAAGATGAAGAAAATGAATTCAAGACAAAGAGATAAGGATTCAGCTAAAAAGAAGGAACATTATCCAAAACCTTATCCAATCTTATCTTATCCAAACTAACTTTATCTTATCTTATCCTATCCTAATCTTATCCTACCTTATGTCTAGTTGCAAAAGGAGTCCTTATCCTATTCTAAATCCTTCCCATATGAATTTAGGAGTCATAATCCATCTAAACACATTAATTCTTTTCCTCCCTGGAATCTGATTAGAAGTATCTTTATTCCTTGATGATTTGGAGTCCTAATTCTCTTCCTACTCACCCTAGCCGTGCCTTACATTCTGCCGTAGCACTCAGAAATCACCCATCTTCCATCACAAATTCGTCCCATACATGCCTCATACACATTCATCCCATTGTGCCGCAGCTTTGCAATGAGATAGGAGATGAGACCCCTGGAGCCGTGCTTGCCATTCAAGACGTTGGATTGTTGGAGCGTTTCTAGGTGTATTCTATCATTTGTTTCAATGTTTAAATTTAATTGTCTTTGTTTAATTGCAAACATGAAGAGCTAAACTCATTTTAGCTAGGGGGAAATTCAAAGCCATGAACATATTTGTAATATGAATTGATTACTTCCAGTTGTGATTTCATGAATCGTGAATGCAATTTACTTAACTGTTTGATTCATAACTTATTCTTGTTTATGAAGTGATTTGTAACATGAACATATTTGTAATATGAAGTGATTTGATGCTAAAATATAAGGGAATTTCACCTAATAGTTATGGACTTATATTCACAAGTAGTGGAGGTTGCTAGTCACAATCATGTTAAGTGAATTCCTGGCAGGAGTATCATGCTGTCATAGTTACGAATGCCTTGTCAATGCTTATGATTTTCACAAAGCTTAATGATCTTTGATTGTATCTCTATTATGATGTTCATGTAGGGAACTATTGAAGAATAATTTGGTTGCTGATGCGTTGTCCATCCAATTCAATGACTTAAGGAAAATCTGAGGGTTAATTAGTGCCATTCACAGTTAATCTGGGGCGTTGAGGTTCATGGTTTATTGGAAAAGCAACTGGAAATTGATTTGTATGCAAGTGTGTCATGTGTGGAGAAGAATCCTCTAGCTAGCCATTCACCCATTAAATCACCAATTTCGTCCAAAGTTATTTAGAGTCTTAAATCTGTTTAGTTTTACTTTAAATTAGTCAAAAACCCAATCCCCTTTACTTTTGTTGTGCCAAGTTAGTTAAAATATGTCCAATTTGTGTTTTTAAGTGTTTTTAAGTGTTTTGAGTTAAGTTAAAATCAATTTTCGTCCAATTCACCCTCTAGTGTGTAGTTTGAGTTTATTTAATTGTTTTGTGCTGTTTTGAGTCTTTTTAGTTTGTTTTGAGTTCATAAGAGTCCAGTTTAGTGTTTTCAAGCCTAGTTAAGTGTTTTTGAGTTAAATTTGAGTAGATTAGCATCCCTCCTAATCTCCGACCTAGAACGATTCCTACTTACATCTTTACTACAATTGTCAATAAGAGGGTTTAATTTGAGTGCTAGTTAAATTTCACATTAGACTCTCGCATTCATGGTTTCTAATTTTTTTGTTCATTCGTAGATTTTTTGTACGCTCTCATTCCTAGAATTTTTTATACAAAAATTGCATAAACGTAAAAGAAAAGTACAATGACAAGAAATTCGGAAACCACAAAGAACGGAACTTCCTACGTTTAAGGATTTAGATCACGACAATCCACGAGGCTCAACGCAACGGCGAGTGGAATGGTACCACCCCCACGGGGCACCACCGTGGCAACTTATGGCGAGATCCAAGCCCAAGGAGCAGGCCTCACCTTGCAACCAAAAGCCCAGGCCCATGCCACCTTGCAGCAGCGAGCCCAGGCCTGCACCACAAGGGAACCCAGCCCAAGAAGGCCCAAGGTAAGCAACCCCAGAATCAGGCAGCCATGGCAGGAGCAGTGGCCCAGACCTCGCGAGCCCAAGGCTATTGTGAGCCCAGTCCACTCCAAGGTCAAGCTTAAGACCAAAGGACAAAAGTCATGCAATTTCAAGCTTCAAGGGCCCAAGCCCAGGATGAGCCAACCCGAGCCACAACCCTACGCGAGCCCAAAACGCACCCGAGCAGAGCCTAGGCCTAACTCCCACGAGTGCCACACGTGGAGTAGCCCACTTTCGTGGCTTCCCAAGTAGCCCAAACCAGTCCAAGAACGGTTCAACCATCCTGACTTCATATTTCTGGGCCGACAATTGAACCGGGGGCATTTTCACCACATTTCTCCCTAGATTTGACATTTTCGAATTCAAATCTCGCACTTAGAGTCTACCACACTTCCACTACTCAAGGAGACTCATTCTGTCCAAGCTCTTCCAACCTAAATGGTGAACAACACTTGTCTTGACAAGTCATAGAGTTAACAAGGGCCCTCGCACAGTAGACGACCTTGGTGAATTAGCTCATATAGTGCACCAAGATGCAACATGCCCCTGACAAGGTGTCCCGAAGTAGAACAATAGGAGACGAATCTTTTCTCCAGCAGCGTCCTAGCAGGCAACCACTCAACTAGCCAAGAATCGAGCGTTCCGGCAATGTACACTTTCGACTGGGCCCCTAAGATAGCGTATACTCTCGTCTTAGCTCGTGGACGAGCGTGTACTCTCAGTTAGGCCTACGGATAAACATACACTCATGATTGGGACCACAATCCGATAATCAACATGAGCAACCTTCTAGGCGAAGTGTTCATTCACGGCTAGGCCTGCAAGGAGCATCATCCTCCTCACATCAGAGTAGGCAGCATGACGGATGGAAAGAAGCAGTCACTCAATCCGGCTCAAGTTCAACTGGCAGCCTGCGAGGAATCTACTCGCCTACTAGGGATGTGCCACACGCACCGCAACCACAGCATAAAGGAGCCAAATACATAGAAGAGCAGCCTAAACCAGCAGGTCAAGATCGGGGGTAGTCAAGAACTCCGCTACCTTAACAAAGCCAAATTCAGGAAGAAGTAGAGAGACTCTTGACCAAGCGATTGCATGACTTCCAACGCAACGAGGTCACTGATGAGGCACTACGACGGGACATGACCAACATGAGCAGGTCACCTTTCACGAACAAGATCGAGTAGGTAGAGCCTTCATACAACTTTAGCATTTCATATTTCACATTTTTCAAAGGAGATGGAGATCTAGAGATACACTTGAAGCACTATCGAAGCACGATGGTCCTTTATCGGAACAACGATGCTCTTATGTGTAAGATATTGCCACCACTTTTTAAGGCGAGGCGCAAGATTGGTTCCACACCCTACCGCCACGATCCATCTAGAGTTTTGATGAGTTTTCCTTGGTTGTCACCAAAGAATACTCATCTTACCGCTCGATCAAGAAGAAGTCCGACCATTTGTTCAATGTGAAGAAGAATCCAAATGAGTCATTCCGTGACTACGTGAAGAGGTTCAAAGCAGAGAAGGCGAAGATAGTCAAATGCGACGACTCGATAGCAAGTGCACCCTTCCAAAAAGGACTCCCAGAAGACCACCCGCTGTTTAGAGAATTGATCATGAAAGAAGATCTAACTCTGGTAGAAAAGCATGCACTTTAGGATGAGGCTCGACGAGCGGACAAGGCTCCCAAGCAGCCTCGAAATGAGTCAGCATTAGCTCAAAAGAAGGAATACGGAAAGCAGTACAACAACAAAAGTAGGTAGAGGGCTAAGCGTAGGGATCGATCCTCGAATAAAGGAGGCTTGATGCCCAAGAAAGTTCTTGATTCCGATCCACCAAATCCTTCGTGACATCAAAAGTGAACCATGGTTCAAGATTCCAAAACAATCAAAATGAGATACTTCCAAGATGGACTACACCAAGTATTGCACATTCCACCGAGGTCCCGATCACACAATCGATGACTACTATACTTGGAAGAATTACCTAAAAAAACTCGTGAAGGAAGGTAACGTCGACAGATACTTGGACAAGCCAGTTGTGCAGCTTAGAAGAAATGCAAATTCTGATGAATCACCGCCCAACAAGGCGATTTGGATTAATGACACCTTCGTTGAATTTGAGCACTTGGGGGCCACCAACAATTCTAAGAAGAGGAAGATCCAACAGGCTCTACTGGTCTTGCAGGTCCAGGCAGTCAACACCCAACTTAGACCCATTGTTGGCTTCACCGAGTAGGATGCCCAAGGTGTCGACTTCCCACATGACGACGCACTGGTGGTATTTGTCCAACTAGCCCATACTATCGTCGACATGATGATGGTTAATAACGGAAATGTAGTCAACCTACTTCAACTCTCAGTTATTCAGAAGATGGGCTTGGAAAATAATATCACACGCCTAGCAGAGGTACTCACCGAATTCAATGGACACACCTCGACTGCTATCGGCCATATCACATTTGACGTGAAAACACTGCCAGTTGTCTCAAAATAGACATTCACTATAGTAAGTAGCCCGTTTCCCTACAATGGGATTCTAGGGCGACCTTGGCTGATAAAGCTGGACACTGTCACTTCCGTCATGTATCAAAAAATCTAATTCTGCATCCCTGGAGGAGGAGTCAGAGAAATTAAGTCTGACCAGGATGTATTTTGACGATGCACTGTGCAAGTACTGAAGAAGTAAAAAAAAAAGACATTTACCCTTGTAGAGGCTACCGAGGTCCAAAGTGACAATGACGCTACCAAATAGCAATTACAGCAAACGGATCAAAAAGATGGTGTCCAAACCTACACGCCAGCATATGAGATGGGATGGAAACCCAAAGAGGACGTTAAACACATCATTCTTGATCCCCAGCAGCCGGAGAAGATTACTAGAATTGGCTCACGTCTAAGCCCGAAAGAAAATGAGAAACTCATGGCTTTCCTTAGGGAAAATCATGACGTCTTCGCGTGGTCACCTTCCAACATGTTTGGCATCGACCCCAAGATAGCTTGCCACAAGCTGCACGTCGACGCCGTTGCTAAATGGGTGATCCAAAAGAGAAGACATTTTGCACCCAAGTGAGTAGCAATCATCGAGGTAGAAATTGACAAGTTATTGGAGGCTGAATTCATATAAAAGGTAGCACACTCAGCATGGCTTACCAACGTCGTGCTAGTGAAGAAAAAAGAGAAGGGCAAATGGAGGGTTTGCGTAAACTACACCGACCTCAACAAAGCATGCCTAAAGAATCCTTATCCACTTCCTCAAATTGATCTATTAATAGATTCAACTTTTGGGAACTAGCTGCTCAGTTTCCTGGACGCATACTCCGGCTACAACCAAATAGCATGTATGAGCCCAACAAAGAAAAAATTACGTTCGTGATCGAGCGAGGCACCTACTGTTAGAAGGTCATGCCCTTTGGCCTCAAGAATGTGAGAGCCACTTACCAAATATTTGTAAATATCATGTTCAAGAAGCAAATTGGAGTAACCATGGAGGTCTACGTCGACGACATCATGGTAAAAGGTAAGTAGCGATCAGACCATATCAGCATTTCAGACTTACACCTTTACTTAAGTTCCGCAGGTAGACAACGATCACGTGGACGGGCTAGCCGGCTTAGGCTCCGCCATCGACCACTAACTTAAACGCTTTATTCCGGTGGAGTATCTAGACAAGCCAAGCATAGAGGCAGAACCAGCAGCCGAGGTGTCATAGTTTAGTATAACTTCAAACTGGCAAAGTTCCATTATAGACTACTTGGTTAATGGCACATTCCCCATAGAAAGGTTGGAGTCTATAAAGCTCCAAATAAAGGTAGCACGCTATTACATGTGGAATGACATTCTCGTTCAAAGATCCTACACTGGACCACATCTCTGTTGCCTAGTATCTCTTGACGACCTAAAGGTTCTAAGCTCAATCCACGAAGGCGTTTGTGGAAATAATTTTGGAGGCCGATCTTTAGCACAGAAGGCTTTTAATGCAGGCTACTATTGGCTAACTATGCATCAAAATGATAAGGAGTTAGTACAAAAGTGTGACAGCTACCAATGCTACAAGCCAGTACCAGCATTGCATGCCAACAAACTACAACCGCGAACGAGTCCTTGGTTGTTCATGCAGTGGGCAATCGACTTGGTAGGGCCATGGGTGGAAGCAAAGCCCATGACAACCACAACGTAAACATACATAGAGTGCTTCATATGGAGGAACATCATTTGCTGATTTGGCATCCCTCAATCCATCGTCAAGGATAATGGCCCGCAATTCGTAGGCAAAGATTTGGCTTCTTCCAGAAATATGGCATCAAGCAGCATTTGTCGACACCGAGGTATCCCCAAGGCAATGGGCTGGCCGAAGCATCTAATAAGATGATCCTCGACTGCCTTATGAAATCCCTTTTTAACAAGAAGGGAAAATGGCTAGACGAACTTCTCGGATATCTATGGGCGTACCGCATAACTAAATGATGAGCAACCGGTGAGATAACTTTCTCTTTGGCATTTGGTTGTGTTGACTCTAAAAACTACTAAGCCTACATGGCACATATGCTGAGTAACTAATGAGCTAACTACATCATTCGGTTGTGTACAGGGCTTGCCAACTTGATGGTGAGCTCGGTCGGGGAGTTAAATTTTTTGATGTTGTGTTGAGCGCGTTGCTGACTTCTTGATCTTGCAACTGCGACCGAGGAAGGAACATGTCTCAGCCTTCGGGTTCTAGAGCCTAAAGACAAGGCTGCTCATTCTATAAAATTCAATATCAAATTCGGCTTTCAATGTGCCAAATGTAGTAACCTGTAACACCTCACTTCGTCGAGAAGGCTGCTGAGATGACCTCTACCAATAAGGATTCAAAAATCCTTCTCGAGCAAGACTTGGATAGATAACCAGTCGGCCTCGACTGATGAGATGACCTCTACCAATAGGTGTCCTAATATATTTAGAGATCCTCCTTGCAGCTGGAAATTAGGTGGTGTAGGATTAGGAAAGGATTAGGACAAAATAAGGTAACTTGATTAACATTCCTTCTTTCTTGTTGAGCTTCCTTATCTTCCTTGTTTTGAATTTATTTCCTTCATCTCTTCAACACATTCCTAGCCTCTTTTGATTTTCAAATTCGTCCATCCACCTTGCTCCATACATGTGTTATCCATTCCAAGCCCAAAATTGCTCCAAAATGCACCAAATTGCATTTTCTTGCTACTTTAGCCCTTTGGACCTACAAACATACGAAAATAGCTTAAAATACTAAAATAACTAGGAACTAACAACAGAAATGTAAGAACAAGCTAACTAAGTCGCATAATTATGCTCCTATCACTGGCACACACCTCAATCTATTAGAAATTAAGACTCAGTCGGCAACCATGCATATGATTCTTTATGATACTGCTGGCCATGAATATATCCATGGTCAACCAATTTCAATGCATACGTGGATCACAGGTAGAGTAACTAATGAGCTAACTACGTCATTTAGTTGTGTGCGGGGCGTGCTAACTCAACAGCCAAGATCGGTCGGGGAGTAAAATTTGTTGATGTTGTGTTGAGCGCGCTGCTGACTTCTTAATCTTATGACTACGGCCTAGGAAAGAACACGTCTTGGCCTTCGGGTTTTAGAGTCTAAAGACAAGGCTGCTAGTTCTGCAAAGTTCAATATCAAATTCGGTTTTCAATGTGCCGAATGTAGTAACCTGTAACACCTTACTTCGCCGATAATGCTGATGAAATGACCTCTGCCAACAAGGATTCGAAAATCCTTCTAGACCGAGACTTGGATAGATAACCAGTCAGCCTCGACGCAGTGCTATTTATCCAAACTGAAGATGCTCTGCGGTTGGCTGATTCTATAGCAGCAGTGTTGTTTATCCAAACTGAAGATGTTCGCTGGTCGCCTTCACAGTGTTGTTTATCCAAACTGAAGATGTGCCGACGGGAAAAAGAAAATAAAAATCTCAAGGTTGTTGAGAGGTTTCACGCAGAGCAAGGGTTTGCGCAGGCAATTTGTGTGTTGAATTGGAGAGAGCTTTTAGTCGTCTGCCGCTTGGTATTTATAGAGACCCGCATGCTCAAGTCGTGGAAACTAATCCCAATTACACTGTGACTCTAAGTCTTTATCTGTTGCTAACCCCACACCCTATCACATCAATCAAAACATGTTGTCATCTTGAAAACCTAACCTTCCATCAAATTTGGCTTTCAAAGATTTATCCCGATGCAATCTTGTTTTGACTAGATTATTGGCAACATTCAATGCACATTGTTATTTTGACCATATAGGAAAACAAAAGAATATTACTTTATTCTTTACCACCTCTTGTCTTTTGCATGCCCCAAGAGAGACATTGTCCATTTCAAATTATACCTCCCTTCAGACGGCACCATGATTATCACTTTTCAATGATAATCATCACCAACTCTTTGCTTGGTCAAGTTCCAACTTCATCCATGCAGAACATGCTAATCCCTTTTAAGTGTCATTGTGCTGATCACTCCATGCATACACGAATTGCATGGAAAGTCCTTCACCCACACGCATATGCATCACGCGTGGAAGAAAATCTGTAACACCTTGGAATACAAATCAAACAGCTAGATTTTTAGATAAAACCAAGTCTAACTAATTTAATATATTATTAAAGGATATTATCATGACAAAAAAATCACAATATTATTCCTTAATAACAACTAAAAATTATCCTAACTAAGCCATCTAACGATTAGAACTTCACTCACTCAAAGGCCTCGATTACCTGGGCCAATTGTGTAATTTTGGCTCCAAATAGGTTTAGAAGCAATCGTTCTTCCCAATGTCATCGTGCCAAGTATCAACAATCTGCTACCAAGCATCGAGCATAATGGAAATGAGATGGCCACAAATCTAGATCTGGTAAAGGAGGAACGCGAGAAGGTCATGACCCGCATCGCAGCCTACCAGCAGTAGCTCATCTCCAGCTATAACAAAAGTGCCAAGATCCGGCAATTCCAGCCTGGAGATCTAGTCCTGAGAAAAGCCTTTATCACTACCCGTAGAAAAGGCTCCAAAAAGATGGATTCCATCTGAAAAAGTTTGTACAATATCGACAGAGTAGGCGATAATGGTAGTTACACCCTCGCCACCATGAACGACAAAGAGATTGAAAAGCAATGGAACGCCTATAATCTGAGGAAGTACCATGCGTGACATCCTGCTAAATCAAAGCCCGAAGACTTAAGCAGTTCGACGGGCACCACCTCTCA